GCATTTTGTTATTACATCACTGCTGTTATTCATAATCAAATTTTTCAATATTGTACTAAAAAATTTGTTTTGTACTATTTAATCACTTTACATAGCATACACATAATTGCTAGCCGCTTACAATTAGTAAAGAAGATACGTATAATCCTCAGAACTAACTGAATGAAACATCATGTCGATGACATCAGTGACGTAGGATTATTTCCATATAGAACAATCAATTAAATGCAACATAACAAGTTCTTGATAAGAATGCATGTTTAGTAAGATCCTACAGACGCATAATTAAAAAAAGAAAGAGTAACAGGTGTTATCAAAAGGGATGCTGTGCTATGTCATCGGTAAATATAAATATGTGCAATTGGACGAAACTTGTGCGGCTATTTTGCACATGTAGATACACACAAGGAGCATATTAAAGTGTAACATAAAACTTGAGGAAGCCTAGGATACAGCCGATGAGATCTTATGCATGGAAGATGTACCGTTCTAATTGTTGAGAGATTTAGAAATTTCAGGAACGCATTTACTTTCGAAATCTACTATGGCTTAAATAATTAAGACAAGAGTTTATAATTATCAGAGTGTAATAGAATTATTAGCCTCACTGTCATCAATTGTTTATATTATATTTGCACCACGATAGGACGTCCATTTAGCGACCATGATCGTACATATAAATATAAATGCCTTGTACCATGCCATTCCTACATTTCTGCATTCCTACTTTATAATGTACGAGATGAATCAAAACACTAATCCACTTCTTCGTAAATGTTTATAGTTGCTTTCAGGTTAATCATAAAAATGTAAATGTATGTCTAAGCAAAACATTTAAACAAATTATGAGATTTGTAATGTTAGGATATTTATGAAATCAAAATGAATATACGATGAGAGAAGGCTCGCAATGTTAAAATCTGTATTCATTTAATTTAAATACTACTCAAGAGCAATGTGTATTACAACCTTTCATTACAATGAAATGCGGTGAAGAAATAGGCGCCCGGTATCGTTAGACATCCCTACTAGGATCACTGCCACAGCGGTTGCTTGTCTGATCAGCGTAGTATCTAGCAAGTGTTTCCCTGAACATGGCGGACGGTGCTTATTCGAATTTTCAAGGGACACAATGAAAGTGCACCATGTACGCGACGGTGATGCCCGTGACTAAGGGCGTGTGGTAATCCTAAGGGTAGCCGAGACGTGGATACCCGGGCGCCGGCGTGATCGTTACGGTTGCGTGGGTGCCGGTGTGTCGCCGTCCTGACTTCACGAGACAGGATTTTGCCGCGCCGCGATACCCTGCCTCGGAGCGGACCGACCGTCGCGGGGGCCCCCATGGTTGTAAATGGCTGACGGGAATTGGAAAATGAGGCCCGAATGTCGAGCCTGATTTCACGGTCGACACGCTGAGGTACGACATTGCAAAAGTGCACGGAGTTCGAGTGGTACTCGCGCGGCCTCCTGTCCTAGAAACATCACGCACCACCGGGTCCAAGCACCGCCCGGTGCTGATTGTCGAGCTGTACCCGGGGGTTGTTCGTGTCCACTGTATTACCTAGTGTTTTCGTCTGAATCGTTTCGGTTTCCACGATTCCCTTCTGTTCCGTGATTTATTAGAACGGCCGATTTTCGCTCGAGATCTGCTCCTCGACGATGAAAAAGAGTTCTCGGAAAAGTGGTAGCTGTGCTCGTGTGCTAAGTTTCGTCTTGTTTGGAGACAGAGCATTTGTAGGTGCTCTCTCCGTTCGTTAAACGAGAGCGAGAGCGCGCGGGACTGGTTTTTAATGAGATGCCGATCATATGGTCGTTATTTCTTTCGCAGACACTCGCGATTCCTTTTTCGCGATCGCTCGTAACGTATGCTCGTTGTGGCCTGTTGTAATGGAGACACGTACGTAAACGAATGATTCGACGGACGACCATGTATTTCGCATAATTGCGTGAATCTCGTTGAAGCATTATGTGTACGTGCATGTAAGATTTTGCTTTCCTTTCCGTTCCTAGCAAACTGTTTTCTAAGGAAACATAGTGCATTGACAACGTTCTTGAGTTGTGCTATTAATTCATCATCTGTGTACAACTCTTCAAAACATGTTTGACTTCCTGTCTCTAGTTCGATAATAATTTAATACATACATGTAAACATAGCTGGTATTGCAAAAAGTTTCTGTTATAAATTGTAGACACAAGTTGACAAGTTTATCGTGTTGTCTGATAATCTTTTGTCATCTGTCATTAAACGCAAATGGAAGTTGAATGGAAGTTTTAAAAGATAATATTTTCAGTGAAAGTTTGTTGTTTTTTTTGTTACACTTTACTTACTTAACCTTTTGTTACAATTTGTTACACTTTAGTTGAATTTCATTAAATCTAGTAAAAACGATATATTTTGACATCATAATTGATTGGACCTGGGCAACATGCTGTTATTACTTTGTATGATTATAGAAACAGGGTAGAAAATGTCAGAGCCAGAGGAAAGTCTGGCAGCGCCGGATAGCACTACGAGAGAACAGAAATCGGGTTTCTCTCATGGAGACGATGTTCTACTTCAACACAAGGATGGCAAATTTTATCTTGGAACAGTTGTTGAGGTACAGTGCAAACATGTATAAAACTTTGAGATGTAGATTCCTAATTGAAATATAATTGGATTATCATTTATTATTGATTTAACAGAAGTGGAGGTCTTGTATTATATATAAATATTGTTTGTATAGGTGGATTTGGTTAGGGAGAGATGCCTTGTCAAGTTTCTGGATAACACTTCTGCGTGGTCCTCGGTTAAGGAGCTGACAAAGCTCTCAATGCCAGACTCGGATGTTATGTGTGTTCTTTGTAAAAAATCTCAGCCCAAGACTGATGATGACATTATTGTTTGCGATAAATGCGGTCGTGGTTATCACCAACACTGTCATCAGGTAATTAATCGTTTGTAAATGAAAGACATGGTAACCATGGAATAAGTAAAACAAGAATATTTGTTCATAGCCTCAGATAGTAAAGGACGGAGAAGCACATGGATGGATGTGTAAAAGATGTATAGATAGTCAACCAAGAGCATATGAACTTACAGAACCAAAAACTTCTATGGTAAAGGCAAGTATCAGAAAAGTTTGCAGTGGAAGGGACCAACCTCAGCCGCCACCAGATGATATGACAAAGTTGCCGTACGATGTACGTACATATTCTTCTTCTTATTGGTAGTTAGCTTAATTAAGGTAATACCTAACAATAATGGAACGCAACGTTTAATATTTGTTACAGCCTAGTATGTTAAACTGGGATGCGCACCATAGAGTGAATGCAGAACAAATTTATTGTTATTGTGGACTCAATGGCGAATGGTATGCACAAATGTTGCAATGCGCCCGTTGCAAGCAATGGTTTCATGAGAAATGTGTTAGTTGTTTGACTTATCCTTTATACAGTGGAGATAGGTGAGAGAAATTGTTTGTTTAAGTTTACAGTTCGTTTAGCTCTGAATTCGCATGTGATGACCGTGAATATTACTTACAGGTTTTATGTATTCGTTTGTTCAATGTGCAATCATGGCAAGGAATTCGTACGACGACTGGAATTGAAATGGGTAGATCTGGTGCACCTGATGTTGTACAATTTGACTGTTTATAATGCTAAGAAGTATTATGATTTGGACACTGTTATTGTACCTTATGCTAATGACAATTGGAATACTTTACAGCTTCCACCGCGGGTAAATACTTATTCTGAACCACTACTACTTTTTTCTAATTTGCAAATTTCACGGATACGTATATTTGTTGTTAACAGATCAGGGATGTCAGTGCTCAAACACGCAGAGAATCTATACTAGCGATATTGACGAATAATAGAAACAGGTTTAAATGCGGCAGAGAAATAAAGAAGCGTACTACAATATGGGGTCTTAGAGTTAGATTACCACCGCCGTGTCCAATCGTTACTCTTCCAGCAGCTGATGTAATAGATGATGCTGTATTACGTAAATGCTGGGGATCTAATAAAAGACTGCAATATCTTCCTCCGCCTACAGGGTTAGCTATCACTGTACTGTGTTATCCAAAAGAAACTGCGATTATGTAGTCAACTGTTGGACTTTTATCTTATAAAGGGAAACCTTGGATTGTTTCAGGCCGGTATGTTTACCAGAAAGTACAAGACAATTAGCTGCGTTGAAACAAAAAACGGCAGAGAATTTAGAGATTTCTGTGAATCCATCGGACGTTGTGATGCGTGGGACGATTTATCAAAACTCGGAAGCAGAACAAAGTTCCTGCCCGAGCCAGAGTCCACCCAGTCTGTCTACACAGTCGCTGAGAGAAAGGTACAGCGGAGGTGGTTTTGTAAAGAAGTCATTCCCATTCCCTAAACTCAGTTTACAAAGAAGACGGCGCCTGATGGCGTTGGGTAGTTCGCGTGAGAGAATGTTGCGCAAACACAAGAAACGAGAGAAGAGCGACGGAGTTTTAAGCAAAGCTCAGGGTGTTCGAGAAGCTAGATACAGAAAGGCGAGGAAACTACTGAAAAATGCTATAGCAAAGGTATTGTATAATAGAAATATTATTACGCTTAACACCATGGTTGATTAACTGAAAAGAAAAACTATGAAAGAATCGGTTGTTTTATGTTACAGAGTAAGTCTCGAAACTCAGAAACATCGGATCTACCACCGACGCCTCCGACGTCGGTTTCCGGCCCACCTACACCACCGGCAACAACGTCGGGTATATCTGAACTATCTGTGCCTAGTTCTATGGAATTGATGCACTCCCTACCACCGTCGACTCCTGCGGATACGAGCGGGGACGAAACTAGTTCAAGAGGAACATTAGATTCATTTATTCCACCGCCCAAAGATTTCGAAGGCAAGAATAATCCGTTTAGAAATCTGAGCGATTTACTGGGCACGCCTGGCAGTGTGAATCAAGCGAACTCCAGTACTCCGTTACCTTACAACCCATGTCCGATCACGTTACCTTTACCGCTCACTCCTGTTATATCGCAACCGCCACCGGCACGACCAGCAAAAAGACAGTTGTCGGAGAAAGACATCATCGTAGACAGAAACGGACAAGTAAAACGCAGACGACAGCATCGAAGGGGACGCCCATCGCAACAAATACAACAACAGTATCAACCCACCGCAAGTAAAACGGCGACTATACTACCGGCGCGTAACAGCGAAGTTAAAAGTGAGTTTGTAAGGAATTTACGAAGTTCGTTTAACGGTGCCTCGAGCAGTGCTAGTAGTCAAATTGGAAATTGTGTCGATTATGCCTTAAACGGGAGGAGACTGAGACATCGTCAGAACAATGAGAAATTGCCACCCCCGGATTCACAGCCGCAGAAAAAAGGTAGCGTAGCCTCATCCCCAAAGTGTTCACCCGTTAAACAAACCACGCCCGACATATCTCTGGATGATCTTAAGTCATCGGTGAACATATATTTTGGAGCGGCTAATAGAATCGCCGCTGGCGAGAAGTTCGTCATCAAAGCGAAGAGGATAGGGCCGGACGGTCAGCTCCAATACCTAATCGAGTGGGAGGGACTGAATACTTAACAATAAATAATCCGTTTACAATTATGAAATGCATTGCAATCTTATACGATTTCATACATCGAGCAAGAGCAGAGTACCGAATCGCTGCTCCATTCTTTCCTTCATATTTTTCTTCTTGGTTGATTTGCTCGGTGTGTAGAAAAAAACGATTTAGTGACAAATGGACTTTCACGTCACATGCACTGCCATTCGTTTCGTATGTTTACGTATTAAGTATCTATTCATTGGTGTATGATGTGTGACTGTTCTTGCAAATGTAAGTTTTTATTTTTCGTTTTTTCGATAGCTTTATAAAGATACAATTTTATGTAATAGTTAACGACATACTTCATTGCTGGACAATGAATTTGTTTCGTCCGCTTGTTCAAAGTAAAAGGAATAGAGAAACATTGGCTCTGGCTTGTTTCGTTCCATGTAGCACAAGTATAAAAAGTTTGACTGTTCTTTTATTCAATTCCGATTTCAAATGTACCGTCCATGATTACCTTCGACGCATATGAAATTCGATTAACGTTTGTACTTCTATTTTAATACAAAAGGTAAATGAAAGAAACACGTGTGGGAAGGAAGAAAAACATTTACAAGAACAATCAGATACATTGCTTTATGAATTGTATATATTGTAGTATAGTAGTTTCGCAAATTTCGAATGAGGTATAAAGCAGACGAATGTAAAGCAAAAGAGGAGATTAATTTTCGTCGTGTTTTACATTCAGTTAGAGATTGGCCAATCGCTCCTTTTTTTATGAGTTCCGGAGCAGACCATGATCACGATTAATGGGAAGGGTAACCTGAATTTAAAAGAAAAAGCTGACAGTAGTTCCTCTCACTTGAGCTAACATGCTAGCGAACGTTAGTAAGTTAGTGTTTTAAGGAATAAAGAAAAAATATGGAATAAGGAAAAAAGAAGCAGACGTCCTGCAAAGGGTTATTTTTCAATACAATCGTAGAGATAGACATCCGCTTCTGTAACTGCATCTTCTTGAACTGTTAGTCCCACCTCCGAATGACAATACGAACAAAATCAAAAATTCATTCATTCGTTTCGCACATCTCATTATTCTATCCATCGTTGAATTTCGTGCTCATGATACTTAATAATTATTCTAGCCACTAACAATGCAATCGTTGTTCGAGTATTAGAATTAACGAATCGTGAATGGTTTAAGAAGATGAAGATACGGTTCCAGCATTGCTCATTATTATTACATGATTAAGGGGAAGTAACATACATATTTCGTAATAAACGTACGATATAAAACGAGTCGCCAGAACTTGAATGTGCAAGTGGTTGGCCAAAGTTATCTGTGGACGAGAGAGAATATTTCTGCATGCGATTTTTCTCAGCGGAAAGGATCATTTCAAATTCAGGACGTAGCGAATCTTTATAAGAAACACTGTTCTTGTTACATTAAAATAAAAGAAAGCAAAGTAAAAAAGATATAGGTCGCGCGAACGTTATGGATTTCGCGCGTAACGAACGTTCGCGTATAGGCAACATTTTTTCGTGCTTTTAATTTCGTAGAATGAATTTTAAATGGACGTATCGGTGATACTTCATTTAATGAAATTAGAGAATATTCGTACAAAAATTAAGTTGTACCAGGGATCTCTATTTCGTATTAAATTTGAAATTCCATTCGACGGAATTTAATATCAGAATTTATGATTGCCGATTGATGATGAAATGATAACTAAAATGAATGAAATGATAATGAAAATTAAATATTGATAATATTCCTCGATAAAATTCCAAATGGGAGAGTTTACAAGGAAGTCGATGAAGTTTGTAATTATAAACATTATTTCTTAGTTACACAATTCGATTTCTATTTTGTTTTTCAATGAGTCTGATGTGATTAAATTAGGAGATTTAACTTTTAATCTTTCGCAACGAAAATAATATCGTAAGGAGGCTAATAAGTTGCCTGAGAATTAGTCTTTCTTTGAATACCAAAAGTATGGATAGTCGACTAACAAAAGTAAAGGAGGAATCAGATTTCATTAGATCAGTTTAAGCGAATTTTTACATCTATTCATTTCATTTACATCAAATTTGTACGTATTGAAAATACGGAATGAAAATCGTATGTTTTTCCCCGGACACTTGGATGAGGCGAGAGATCCACAAGTCATTCGTGCTTAAACAGACTTATCTATGATAGGTATTTTTTTAAGCGCTATTTATTTAATCTACTATACGTAATAATCATGTTTTTGTATAATAACTCCTTTAGAGAGATTTTTACAAAATCACGACTGATTGTTCTTATTTTTCGTAAGGAACTCGGCAGCGTTTAGACGATCAATTATGGAATCGATCTATGACGTAGGACCTTTCTGCCAACGATTAATTACACGCTTATTTTTCTGTGCATTTCTACTTGCTTTCCTTTCTTTTGAAAGTGAATCTACGTTTCGTTTAATTGTCTTCGTACGTTAGAGAGCAAAGAAAGAAAATGTGTTCAAGTGCGTTCCGATTGTAATCGCATTATATGCCACGAAGTTCGATTCTTGTAATAGCTTTTTGTACAGTGGGTATACTCATAACGGCATGGAATCGTTCCAGTTATGCGAAACTTTATTATACTCTCTAAAGGAAGACGTACGTATGTAGGTGAATATTGGACGAAGACACTGCCAAACATCTCTAAGTTATAATTTAATATACGAAGTTAGACAATATTGCGCTATGATTATGACGTTATTAACTTCTTAATTAAACGAACTGTTTTCTTAATAGCGTTTTCTTTTAGTTTCTCTTTTGTTCTCCCGTTTTCTTGTTCGTTCGTCGTTAAACGTGAAGAATCAGAAAACGGATGGAAATCAACGAGTAACGTTTTCTTCTTTGATTACCCTTTTTCCTGGTACCATTGAAGAAAAAAGAAAAAGAATTACGTGCACAAACTATCTGAAATTCACTACATTACGCGGTCGTAAATCATTCTCTATCCTCTTCTCGATCAGTGTTATTCAACCTTCATCGATTGTTTCTCATGTAACTTTTAAGTAGATTGCTTAGAGAGCATGAATTTAGGATCGACGCTTGCGTCGATGAACCAACGTATTAGCTAAGTTAATCATTTAATCGTTGTGTCGTCATACTGTATCATATTACATCATTTCTTTTCCCGTTTTATTTTATTTGCTACATTTTCGCGATGTATCTTGTAAGTTTCGTGGAAACGACGGTTTTATTGTACGTGAGCTATCCGTTGCAACTCGTTAAGAATTCGAACGATTGACTCGATGGTGACGAAGCGACACGAGCAAGAACGAAGTCGGTTCATATAGGAACAATCATTTCCCCGTACAAAGTCATTGCTAGCCGCTTTGTGGCGAAGCACGATAGTGCTCTAACGTTCATACAGCGTTGGGCAACGAATAAAACCAAATTCTTTTCGATAACAACGAATTAAGTACTGCTGAGATTAATCTAATTTGAGCAACAAATTCATTTGCTGCTAATTATTTAGATTTCTTAGATTGTAGATTAATTTAGAAGAGGACCATTGCTCAGAACTAAGTTATTCTTGCTATTGTTCTTTAATTCAAGTTTGCCCGACTCTGCGTTCACGCTGGAGCAGAACATTCTTATAGGCACAGACGAGATTGAAGGAAACACGTCCGATTTAGTTCACCGATCATTGTCATTGCGCGGCAATATTTCTTGTCAATATTATCTGTGGACAACTGGATTTCGCGTTTCCTCCCGAGAAATTTCATCAAGATGTACTGCCAGTATCGTATCTTATGTAAATATTCCTTGATCCTCAGACTCCCATTTTCAGATACAACTGTCCCTCAATCTCCATGTCCCACCCTCGTTTTCTAACGCAGTCTTATTCCACGTGGAATATGCATAGCTGTAACGTAAATATCTGTACACAATTATGGGCGGAAAAACCGATGATGAGGAGCGTTTTTCTCCTCCTCGGTTCACTTTCCGATGAATGTATGCGTGCGTGCCAGTCATGGTTCTCGCTCTCTCGCTGCGAAAAAAGATATCATTTTCCAATTCATCTTCTTCGCGAAGCTTATTTTTCATTTGTGGTGTTACAAAAATTCGAGTGCTGGTTACCCGAATAATTTACCTTTACTCGAGAGAGAAGTTTTCTCGCGAAAGAAACGATACGAGAAAAGATTATCAGAGAAAAATTATTAGCTTCTGAACGTCTCGAACCGTGGGAACAGTTTATAAATTGTAAATGCACTGTTCCACTAACTTTTATATGAGCAATTCATTCCTTTCTCTTTAACAAATTGATCTCCGTCGATATACTTTACTCCGTACGTATGGATGCCAACGAATTGCTAATAATTTTTCTATGATACTAAATTATCTGCATTTTATCTAACAGTTTATTGAACTATAAACATTTCGTTTCCGTCATACAAGTATTCTTCGACATTTATTTTGAATTAATTATTCTAAGATTCTGATAAGTTGTTTTAATGCTGTTTCTCAATTTATTTATTACAAAATTAAAACATTTTATCCGTGCGAAGAGGAATGTACGTGTGAATGAAGAGCTCAAAGAGACAACAATTATGAAAGTATGATTGAGTTTGCTGTACGATCGTCGCCTGTAAATAGAAATAGAAATCGAAGAGAATTGAGCTGGCAGTTGCGATTGAAAACTGGAATCGAATTCGTCCTCAATTCGCTTCGATTGTTTCAGACAGTGTGAAATTATCAATAAAAAGATAAAAGTTACGGAGAAGTCTTCAATAAAATGATTCGTCGAACTTGACAATTTTCAATTGTGGAATCTTGAGAGTGAGGAAAAATAAAAAATGAATCGTGACGATTTTTAGTGTGATAATTGAGATACTTGCGATACCTTAATCACGTTCATTGAAAAGAATTTCCATTCTTAAAGATACCTTAGCAGTGAGATTGAGAGTAAAGATGAGAAGGAGAGAAAGGGAAAGAAAGAATGAGAGATTGTATATAACTACACCGCCTGCACTTTGTACGAATATTGCGATCGTCGTTGTTCAGCGACCATTTTTGTTTCCTTTCGTCGTTTAATAAAGTGAATTCTTCATCATCTCTTCAATTTGACGAACCTTCATTCTCTACACTAACGTGATCTAATTACATAGTTTCAAAAAATGCTGTGTAATAACATTTTGTTATCTTATTTTCAGTAAAGGACATCGGGGACAGTCGGTTCGCCCGTTGAAGAGAACAAATGCAGAACGAATGAAGTGTATGTTCGGGAAATATTTTCAGGTTTTTTTATTTTTTATTGTTATAATACAATTTGATTGTTGTGTAAAATCTGTTGTAATATACTTAAGAAAAGAAGTATCTATGCTTACATTATTTAAGGAATAAAACGCGGAAGCATAGCACAATAGAACAGAACAACAACCCTATCGTGAATGTTAGATTATCTTTATTATTACATCTGTTTAAAAGACATAACTTATTTATAAAAAAAAAATATGAGAATCGGGATACCGGAACTAAAAAGAGGGGGACGATGAGAGGAAGAGGGACGCGGGCCGGAGAGGGGCAGGATATAATAATATAAGACCGAAACAAATCCTTACAATTACAGAATACTTAATACTAATAAAACTCAGTACTTTTTACAAGTTACAAGGAATAACAAGATCTATCATAATAAATTGGGAAATTCTCTAACTTATCATAGATAACTGTAAATCGGAACGTGAAAACTTATCCCTATATCGTTTTCTTTCTTAACACAGTGAAAAATCGGTGCTACGTAGTCAAGATTTCATTTCCAACACGTTGTCAATACGTTCTTTTTGTTCTTCGTCTACACCGCAATTAACAACCTACCGATTTATATACAATTTTTACGTGTTCCCACAGTTACATAGAATTCTTATAGAGATATAAAATTCTGTTATTTATATTTATTGTCTGATCGCATCTTGTCTTTTACAATATACTATTATTATTATTATAAAAAAGAAGGAAGGAGATAACGTATTAACATACCTCTTAATATTTTCGTCGTTCGCTATTTGGCAGACTTCTGGTGGCTTTTAACAAATATAAAGGCAGTCGCGTGAAGATACACTTATATAATTCGTT